TCTCTCACACATCGATGTCTCTCTCCCCGTTTCTTCCTCCCTTCCCCTCTCTCTAAAAATAAATAAATAAAATACTTAAAAAAATTAAAACAACTTGTGATTAAAATGCTAAAGGAGTCAGTGGAATGGGTACATAGCAAGCAAAGACTGATGGGGAATTTCATTGGAGAGATAAAAACTATAAAAAGCTTAAATGAAAATGCTAGAAATAAAAATATAGTATCAAGAGATGAAGAATCACTTTGATATGCTAATCAGTAGACTGGACACAGCACAGGAAAGAATCAATGAACCTGAAGATCAACAGAAATGATCCAAAGCGAAATACCGAGAGTGAATAACACAGAACAGTGCATCCAGTAGAACTGTGAGACAATCTCAAATTGCTTAACATAAATTTACCTGGAGTACCAGAAGGAGGAGAGACACAGAGAGAGAAAGCAGGGCAAATAATAATTTGATACTATTAGTGGTTGAGAATTTTCCAAAATTAATGACACACAACAGAAAGACCCAAGAGGCTCAGAGAATCCCAAGCAGAATAAATACAAAGAAAACATACCTAGACTCTGCTGGAAATCATAGTAAAACTGCTGAAAATCAAAAATTAATAGGAAATCTTGAAGGCAGCAATAAAATAAAAAACATTACATATAGAACAAATGTAAGAGCTATAGTAGACCTCTCATCAGAAACTTTGCAAGTCGGCAGGCAACAGAGTGATTTCTCTAAAGTACTGAAAAACTTAGACTTTATCATAATCCCATCAAGTCACTTGAATATTTGGTGTTGGTGAAGCTAATTGAGGCTCCGAAAAATAGTGGCACTATGTGAACAAGAGTAAATAAGGGCTTAGATGCAAAGAACTGGGGTGGACTTGAGAGCCAGAAGTGATGTGGATATGCTTTTTGAAATCAGACTATCAATAAGCAAGGACCCCAATCCCAAAAAGAATTTTCTAGAACCTGACCAAGTTGGAGACTGCATTCTATGTCACTTTCAGTATAATGGGGTTGGTTACAAGCGTTAAACTGCAATGCCCATTTAAACACCTATCCCCGGTGTCTCAAAGACATAGAATGAGTAGTAAAGGTTCAGTGACAAGATTCAGTGACAACAGCCAATGAAAGACAGCTCCCATAATTCCATCTATTATGGTATTAGGAGACAGAAGGAAAAAAGTGAACAAAGAATCTCCGAATGCAAAGTATATAAAACCTAGAAGGAGGAGCCAAAATAGTTAAATACCCATCTCATGCTGCTTTTCTCTCAGACGTTGGGTTGGAGCAAGGAATAAGTCCTGAGTAGATGGTGGGCAAAGTGTGCCATGCAGTGCTGTCATGCAGAGCTTCAGCCCTTTCATAATATCCAACATTTCCCCAAAGCCTCTCTTAGTAGGTATACAATCTAGTAATACACAGGGAATTTGCCACAGACCCTCAGCTTCAAGACAAATGATCCCCCACTCCCTTTTTCCACGGAGATTGCCATGCCTGGGATCCTCCTATATAAATATTCAGGGATCATAGGTTAGAGGTAAGAGGGCAGAGGGGATTCAATCTGGAGAGCTTCCTGTGCAACCCAAGCTCTTTACATCCTAATGCGAGCTGTTTGCCCATACCACAGTATTTAATTCTCCAAATCCATAGGAGAAAAGCATGAAAGTATGCACGTAAGTTGTTAGGAGGAATGTCAGATTTTGGCTGGTAAGTGTCCCTGTACGTTATTAGGTGGAGAACAGCCAGGTGTAAAGATTTTAAAAAGCCAAGGTCAAACCCTTTGTATCTCAGCTCCTATTATTACATTACTGACAATACACTACAAATATATGTAGAAAATGAGGTAGAAATAGGAGAAAAGGGAAGAAATAACTCTGGTCCCCTCTGGAAACAGGGATGACTGCAAGGCTTTCTGTTGTAGGTCCTTGCCCCTAAAGTGACACAATATAGGCCAGAAACCTTCTCCTAACTTATTGTTTACTCTTGTGTTTCAGAAGTGAAAATAGGATAAGGTGATAATTTTCAACCTTGCCTATCCACACTGTAGTTGTCTACAATTATTCCAAAAATTACAACTGTTGAAATGCTTTTCACTTCCAATGCTATTGGGCAAATCTTTTTGATACAACCCTGATATTTAAGTTAAGACAATGGAAGAATTGCTATAATAGCTAAAATGGACTCTTTTTAAAAAGGCTTGAAATATTTTAATTGCATCTGGGTACTACAATAGATTTAAAATACCTGTTTATCATAAGAAAAACATGTTTTAAAATCATATTGAAAAATTCCGTTTGTTTAGAAACATGAATCTGTCATACTGTCTTTTAAAAGACCTCTTAAGTTCCAAGGAAACGAAGAAAATCACTTGTCATTAAATGTGATACATACACTTCTGGCCAAGACGGGGGCATAGGTAAAGGCACAATTTACCTCCTTGCACCAACCATAAGGATCACAACTAACCTCCAAAGAAAAAGCAACCACAATTGCCAGAAAATTGAACTGTATGGAAGTCCAACAACCAAGGATTTAAAAAAGAAATATTCATCCAGATGGGTAGGAGGGGTGGAGACAAGGAATCAGGGCAGAGAGGAAGCAGTGGCAGCAGCAAGGTGGAAGTGGTTGGCAAGGCAGTGGTAGTAGCAGCCAGTGGAATGGGTGGTCCCACATTCACAGATAAAAACCGGAAGGGACACATAGGGAGAGAGCAATCCCATGCCCAGGCCGGACTGTGCAGTCCAGGGTTCCAGCACCAGGAAAATAAAGCCTCATAACCTCTGGCAGTAAAAACAAATGGGAGCTGGGGTGGTGGAAGAAATGCTGGTCTCTTAGGAGAGTCTGTTTAAAGGATCCACACGGTCCTAGAACATATGCAAACCCACCCACTCTGGGATCCAGCACCAGGGCAGCAGCTAGAAGGGCGCCAGTCCCACATAGGAATTGGGGCAAGTAACTGGAAATGGGACAAGAGCAGAGAAAGCAGCACTGTTACCTCTCCAGCCCCTCCCCCACGCAAAGCACCACAAAGCAGGGAAGCAAGTTGCCTCACCCTACAGAATACCTAAGGCTCCACCCCTTACATCATAGCAGGTATGCCAGAACAGGGAGTCAAAGCGGTTCTACATAATACACAGAAACAAACACAGGGAGGCTGCCAAGTTGAGGAAATGAAGAAACATCGCCCAAATGAAAGAACAGATCAAAACTCCAGAAAAAGAACTAAGCGAAATGGAGGTAGTCAACCTATCATATACAGAGTTCAAAACACTGCGTAAGGACGCTCAAAGAACTCATTGAGTACAGCAAACACATAAGGGAAGAAATGAAGACTACACTAAGAGAAATAAAGAAAAATCCACAGGGAACCAAGAGTGAAGGGAGGGAAGCCAGGGTTCAAATCAATGATTTGGAACATAAGAAAGAAATAAGTCAACCAGTACAGAATGAAGAAACAAGAATTCAAAGAGAAGAAAAGAGAATAAGAAGACTCTGAGACATCTCCAAATGCCAGAAAAAGAAGAGGAAGAAAATCCAAATGCCAGAAAGAGAAGAGGAAGAACAAGAAATTGAAAACTTATTTGAAAAATAATGAAAGAAGACTTCCCTAATGTGGCAAAGGAAATAGGCATACAAGTTTCCAAAGCACAAAAAGTCCCAAACAAGTTGGACCCAAAGAGGACCACACCAAGACACATCATAATTAAAATGCCAAAGGTTAAGGATAAAGAGAGAATCTTAAAAGCAGCAAGAGAAAAGCAGAGTGTTACCTACAAAGGAGTTCCAATATTACCAGCTGATTCCTCAAAAGAAACTTTGCAGGCAAGAGGAACTGGCAAAGACATATTCAAAGTGATGAAAAGCAATGACCTGCAACCCAGATTACTCCATCCGGCAAAGCTACCATTTAGAATGGAGGAGCAGATAAAGTGATTCCCAGACAAGGTAAAGCTAAAGGAGTTGATCACCACTAAGCCCTTATTATATGAAATGTGAAAGGGACTTAAGAAAAAGAAGATCAAAACTATTAACAGTAAAATGACAACAAACACAACTAACAACTGAATTTAAAAAACAACAAACTAAGCAAACAACTAAAACAGGAACAGAATCATAGAAATGGAGATCACGTGGAGAGGTATCAGCAGGGTGGGGGAAGAGGGAAGAATGGGGGAAAAGAGACAGGGATTGAGAAGCATAATTGGTAGGTACAAAATAGATTGGTAGGTACAGGGGAATGTTAAGAATAGTATAGGAAATGAAGAAGCCAAAGAACTTATATGCATGATCCATGGACATGAAGTAAGAGGGGTATCGCTGGAAAGAAGGAGGGTACTGGGTGGAGCGCTGCAAAAGGGAAAAAAACTGGGACAACTGTAATAATCAATCAAAATATACTTAAAAATTAAAAAATGATACATATGACTGATATTTATTATACCAAATGTAATAGTTTAGAATACGCAAACTTGGTAGAGTGGTCACTTTTATGTGCTACATATATAATTCAACATGGAGCAAAGCCCTTTTTATAATCAATAGAATCATCTTACAGCATTTTTATAAGATAAAACAGTGGAACAGTGGAAAAATATCTGATTAGGCATCTCAAGTCTCAATTTTAGAACTGTATATAAAACAATGGCTCAGTCATGAATATGGAGCTCTACAATGCTCTGCTTCCTTGGTTAAGAGGATAGGAAATAAGCGATCAACTTTTTAGAGGGAACCCATGCAGTAGAAAGAAGGTTGCAATAAGTGGTTTTTAGGGCTCCATTCAGCTCTAGGATTCCATGACCAGATGACCTCTAAGGTTTCTTCTATCTCAGAATAAATATATATATATATATTCAGGATATACATATATTTGGAACATAATTTTCCACTTTAAAATGTTACATAGGTTACTAGGATATTTTTGCTTTCACAATTCATTGCTGGTGATGTCTATTATTTATCTGATGTCAAGTCTTTGGTCAGAAATGCAACGCAACTACAATGTTGTTCTGGGAAAACACTTCATTTTAAGGAGTACATTGCAGTAAAAAGTACAGCCCATCCATAAAACACTGCAAAATACTGGTCCCATTAGAAGTAACATTTACCAACTAAACCCTGGTGTTATTCATTAATTTAGAGTTACACTTTAACATAGCTGATGCTATTCCTACCTCTTAAATCCAACAACAACAAAATCCAAAAGTATATTTTTATTTGCAACAAAATTATAAGATAGATGGTACCTTTAAAGTAGATATTCAAACTAAGCATCTGGAAAACTGAAATACGATGTTCACAGCTGAAGTTTTAAAAATGTATTTCAAATCAAATATGGTACTATTAATTTCCTTAAGCTAATTCCTTTATTTGAAACTGTCAAAAAACTAAAGATGTTCTTGTACACACATAGGCTATGCATCTAAGAATTCACAACTGTGCAAAGAATTCCCAGTGACTAAAAATGAAATGTTTACATACTTCAGTGTAGTACTTAATACTTATTTTTGAAATCTATTGCTGATGCTACTTCTAAAGAGCAACGACTCAACCAGAAAAATAGTAAAGGCTGCCTTTTTCTTTTTAAAAGTGCTTATTAGCAGCCATTTCCAAAGCAATGATTTTTAGAAATATGTAATATTCAAAGTGCTCAGAGTCACTACTTACAGAATCAAATATGCCATTTTATACCTTTGCACATGTAAACTGGTTTTACCTGCATTAATGAAAGATTGCTTTCAATGGCCCTCAACTATATGCTTCAAAGCATAATAGTGCTATTACTATCAGCAGCGGGAACAGTAAAAAAAGAACAAACCCTAACACATCTTTAATGGATCACAGCAGACCAGAAAAACTGCAACAGCTTGTGGATATGTTATATATCCAAGGATGAGCCTTTTCTTTCATCTGTCTATATGGTAAACATTAAAAAATAAAATAAAAATGCTTTCTTATCTCTCTCTAGAGTATTTTTACAGTACACTAAGATATTCAATTTTTTTAAAATATTTAACTCTTGTTTTTCAACATTTAATACAAAGCCTATTCACCAAGAAAGCAAGAAGAAATTAACAAATGAAATACTTTAAAAACCTGAGGGGAAAAATTGTAAACAATTCTGACATAAAGGTTTTTAAAAAATAAAGAGATTGATACGAACGTTCCAAAACAGAATGTTTTCTAAGAGTAAAATATTTGACTTCTTATCAATCATGGTTAACTGATTTAAATAATTTAGGAAAACATAAGCATCCTATTAACCTAAATGCTTTCTGTATCAGGCTCCCGTTCTCACTCGCACCTCCAGTATGAACCATTTAACAGCCTTACACTGGTCCCCTCAGGTCCCTGGCCATTTTCTAAACCTTAAGCTCTTCTTGCTACTCCTTTTTCTCTCCTTCAAAACCACTATATATCCTAAGAGAAAATCTCCATTAAAAAGTCACCACTTAAATACAGTGTGATAATGCTACATTTGATTTAAAATAGCAATAAATTATAAATTGCCAAATAACTTAATGTGATTCACAATGCAAATCCCTGGTATAAAAAGAATCATCTTGCCCTGAATATAATAAAGCAGTCCAATGATTTCAAATTACTTATGAAATAAAGGCAAAAATAAGGTGTAAAATTCTATTTATAAAAGTCAAGTAAGAAACCAGTTCTCATAAATCTTTTTACAAAGATAAATGTAATGTGCTTTCCCACTTCTAAAAATTGTTAGGGTGGCTTATAATTAGTGGTTTCAAAAATGACTCTAAGGAAACCAGAGATTGAATTACATATTATTTATAACATATGAGATATTAAGTATATAGTAACAATAATACTGTAATGGTAATTTAAATTAATTTTTGGACCTGTTACTTTTTGGCAAGTATATTTCTTTTTCAAAGTCTTTACTGTAACTGATTTTTAAATGTTAGTCTTCAAGAACTTTGCTACTTGAGATACTGTTAATAAAGATACCAGAAGTCTCAAATAGTAATAATGTGCCTATAAAAGAAAACAAAGATTGTTCTTGCATCTTTTGTTATTATAACAAATACACTTTAAAATAGACAACATTGTTATGGCTGTAAATTAAAAATACCCAAATGCTTAAAAAGGAGGTGGAAAAGGAAAGAAAAATTGAAAATTCTTCTTTAAAAATAAATATGAAGTCCTTGCATTTCTTAAGAACTTTATCTTCTTTTGGACCAAGCTGTATCTTCCATCACTCATCCATGGGATATGATGTTAATTCCCCATTTTCTGGCTTCAGTTAGAATTTTCTTGAAGGTTTGCAAAGCTGGTATTGGACTTGAGACGTTTGGCTATATAAATCAAAAATATTAAATTTTAACTTAAATTTAATTCTCTAAACATGATAATTCATTATTTTTATGTAAGCTATAGCATTAAAAAAAACTATACTATTCATCTATTACTTCTATATTTGAATCAGAATAGGTTCAATCTTCTGAGAATTAAGACCCAAGTCTGTTTTTATCTACCAATCTCTAAAACATAATTTTGCTGGAAGCTGCATTTGACTTTGTCAGAAGCAATACCAAGTAAAACAGATATAATTTATATCATATTGAACATCACAATCTTAAATATGTAATACAGGTGAAAGTACTCGCAAAATGGAAGTGTTATAAAGTATAATAAAATTACATATTCAAAAGTCTAAGTTAGAAGTCCAAATCTAAATCTCTCTTAAAAGAATTCAGTTCATAGACACAGACAACAATATGGGGATTAGCAGACGGAAACAAGGGGGAGGGAGGTAGAAGAGGGTAAAGGTGGGGTAAATACTAGCAGAAGGAGTCCTGATTTTGGGTGATGAACACACAATACAATACACAGATGATGTATCATAGGACTGTACACTTGAAACCCATATAATTTTATTAACCAATGTCACCCCAATAAATTCCATAAATTTTTTTTTGATTCAGTGAAATAATTCTGCAATGTAAAAAAAAAAAATTTCAGTGATTTACAAAGAAGAGTTGAAAGGAAAAAGTGAGTTGTATATTACACATGCACAAATACATATACAAACACATACAGCTGTTAATAAAACATTTACAATCAATTTTGATTATCATGCTAATGGGACTGAGCCACTAGGGTTAAAAAAAAAAAAAAGGTTATTTGACCTGGTAATATATTTTGTATTTACAGGTAAATATGAATGTTTCTCCTGTTCCAGAAATGAAAAAAAATCATGCCATGGTGAAAGTATCTTACACTGGACAAGTAGAAATCTACATACTTTAGAGGTTCTGAACACTAGAGTAGAGGTCATGATTTAGAAGGGACCTATGCATCTGGGTTTTTTGTTTGTCTTTGTTTTAAGCTTAGCAGATAACTCTGATACATGGTCAGGACTGAGAATCAGGGTGCTATCAGGGTTTCCGCTGACCATCACTCTAAGTGCAAGATGACAACATGACAACATGACTTCCTAGAACAGTGTCTTGCTTCAGCCTAAGCTAAAAGTATACTTAAGTCTTCAGGGGTGTGAGAGGTAAACTAAATCAAAAGGATTTTTATTCCAATTATCTTGTTGAAAATTACTAGAAGTAATCTAGTTTCTACTAAATACCAAATCTACTAAACTAATCAGGAATACCAATGAGTACTTTTACCTTCTTTGCCTGCTTCTTCTGACAAATCCCTATGTCCTTCAAAACTTTTACACCAAGAATTGTCTAACGGTGACTTCCGACACCACTTATGCAGAGTTAATCTTATCCTCATCTGTGGTCCAATCACACTATATAAAACTCTACTACATTTGTTGTAATAATTGGATTATGGTCAGTGTGTCCTTTGAGGGAATGTACAGTAGGTTCTGTGACTTAATTTAAGAGAAGCAATGTATAACAAAACCTAGTTTAACATAAGTTAATTATATAAAAAAGAGTTGAGTTCCTATGGCATCTCATCATTATTATAATAAAACAACAAAGTTATCTGAGGACCTGCTTTATTGTACCTTGTTTTTTTTTTTTATCCCTAATTCTTATCAGAGGACTTGATGAATGGGGACATATAAAGTGATGGCATAAATAAAAGTAAATTAAAATGTACACGAAGTAATAGCACAAGAACTGTTTGCTTATACTAACATTCCCTTACATTTATAATTTAATTCATAAACAGTGCTTCTGTGTAACATTAATAGCTATTACACAAAAGTTCTACTGTCAAATTTTGGGATTGTAATGAGTCTTTAATTTATATTCAGCTATATTATGAAGCTCATAAAAAATAATTTACAGGACTAGTATTTTGATAAATACCCTTTAGGAAATGGTAATATTAAATAAAAAGTTTTTACTCAACAAATATTTTTCAGCACCTAATATGGCAAAGTTAATTTGTAGATGCCGGTGATATACTAGTGAATAAGACAAACAAAATCTTTGTTCTTATGGGATTTACAGTTGCGTCAAGGGAGACAAACAAATAAGGTAGAAAATAAGTTAAGAATTTAATTTAAATAATCATTAAGTACCATTATAAGAAAGATGTTACAGAAGAATTAAAAGAAGGGTGTATTCTAAGGTTGGGGTGGGGCATAAAAGGTCTCTTTGAGTAAGCAACCTTTGCTCTAAGACCTGGACGAAAAGGCACTAGTCAAAACAAGTGGGGAGGACAAGTACTCATTGCCTTGGAAAGAGGTGCTGTGAATGAGTATTTGAGAGGCACAGAAAGAAGACCAGACTGTCTACATACAGTCTCTGCGCAAGGAGAGTAGTGGGCGCCATAGAAAGGTAGATAGGGGCAAGGTCACAAACAGCTTGGAGAGCGGAACCTGGAAATAAGTTTGGATTTTATTCTAGGGAAACATGAAGGGTTCAAGTTGGAGGGGAGCAAAATAAAATTTGTGTTTAAGGAAGTACTGTAGCCATTATATGGATAATGGGCTGTAGTGGGTCAAGGTGCAAGCAGGGATGCCAATTAAGAGATTCATACATTAGTGCAGACAAGAGAGGATGACCTGGGCTAAGAAAAAACATTTAAAATATATTTTTGGAAGTAGGGTTGGTAGTACTTGCTGATGAACTGAAAAGAGGTGGGGTGGGAAAAAAAGAGAGGAAAAATCTCATGAATACATACAACAGTGTGGTGATTGCCTGGTGGGCAGGAAGAAGTGGAGGAAAGTATAGAAGTGATAACTGGCAATGGAGAGTGACTTGACTTGGGGTGGTGAACACACACTACAGTGTACAGATGATGTGTTGTGGAATTGTGTGCCTGAAACCTGTATAATTTTGTTAACCAGTGTCACCCCAATAAATTCAATACAAAGGGAAAAAAAAAGAAGTGGGAAGAGAATGAGGAGATGGGGAAATAAAGAAAAAAAGTTAAGGAATTAAAAAAGAACATGATTTGTGGCTTATACAAGCAAGCAAGTGATAATGATTTTTACTGTGAGGACAACAACAACAAAAAAACCTGATGAGAAGCAGTAAATATTTTCATAGAGTTAAACAGATTTGCAAGGCAAATAAGATGCTAACTTAAAAATTACACCAAGCCAAGAATGAATTAAGATGTAAGAGGAGTGGAAGTCACACTGACCTCCTCCCAGGACCAATCTGGAATTACAACTAAATTGTGGAGAAATCACGTGGAACAAACAACTGGACAATAGTGAGAGAGGAGCCTTTTAACCTCGGACAGACAGAAGAATCAGCTTTAGCACAATCTAACTGGTAAGGAGTGCGGTAGAGACTTGAGAAGGTGGGCAGGATGCCCATGGACAGCAGCACTGGAAGGATATTGAAACGGCCAGTTGGATCCCCCTGAGAAGAGCAGGGTCTAAACCATTAGTGTGGATCTCCAGCCTACAGCACCAGAGTCCAAAAAGCACACAGATAACAGCCAGCTGCAAAAAGCAGCAGAGTTGCTCTCTGCCAAAGACTGGCGGCTGGAGATGCAAAGAGCCATTTAAAGGGCCAACACATACATTTTTATTTGCAGTCACTTACCCTGGTCTCTGGCAAAGGCGGGGGCAGAGTGGGCTGCAGACACCTGAGGAGAAACTGGGGAGGGAGGCTTTGGAAAGAAGACTGAGAGAGTGGACGGCAGGATCCCGGTGCTGACTCATCCCCCATAAGGCAGGAGCCATCTAGATCAGGCAGACCCTGAGTGGCAGCAGCATGAGAGGACCCAATAACCTTGCCCCCAGGAGGAACTCTGCCCTGCCCTGAGCTGTCTAAGCCTGACTCCTGAGTGCAGAGTGACTAGATTAACAGCTGAAGGAGACAGCCACAGACGGTAGATTCCTGGAAGTCTCAAACAGACTGCCTAAGGTCAGACAGGGTCAGCATCTGACATCATCAGAGACAGACCCAGAAAGAAAAAAAAAAGTCATCTACTACCACAGAAGTTCACACCACAAAGTCAGGAAATCAAGGCAGATCAATTTAAGAAGCAGAAGCAAAAAAGAAGAGTCTCACAAAAAATGAGAAGACAAAGAAACACCCCCCAATCAAAGGGAAAGGAGGAATCCCCAGAAAGGGAACCAAATGAAATAGAGGCAAGTAAACTATCAGATACTGAGTTCAAAACAATGGTTCTAAGGAAGCTCCATGAGTTCAGTGAGCTCAGAGAGAATTACAAAAAACTAGAGAGAAATTATGAGGACCTTACTGCAAACTACATCAGCATGAAAAAGGACATAAAAACTATCACAAGAGACAAGAGGAAATGAAGAATACAATTTCTGAATTGAAGAACACAGTAGAAGGAATCAAAAGCAGGCTCGATGAAGCAGAGGAATGAATCAGCAAGCTGGAGGATAAGGTAAAAAAAAGCTCCTGGAAAGAGCAAGAAAATGAAAAAAGACTCAAAAAGAATGAAGAGGCATTTAGGGAAATGCAGGACAACCTGAAACGTAATAATATCTGTATAATAGGGACACCAGAAGGAGAAGAAGAGGAGCAAGGGGTAAGAGAACCTGTTTGAAAAAGTAATGATGGAAAACTTTCCTAATTGGAGGAGAGAAAAAGTCATACAAGTCCAGGAAGCACAGAGTGTCCCATTCAAGAGAAACCCAGTGAGGCCCACTCCAAGACACATCCTAATTAAAATGGCAACTATCAAAGGCAAACAGAGAATCCTAAAGGCAGCAAGGGAGAAAGGGGTAGTAACATACAAGGGAGCCCTGATACGGCTAGCTGCTGACTTCTCAACAGAAACACTCCAAGCCAGAAGGGAATGGCAAGAAATATTCCAAGGAATGGAAAGCAAGGCCTGCAACCAGACTGCTCTACCCAGCAAGGCTCTCAATTGAAATGGAAGGCGAAATAGTTTCCCAGACAAAAGAAAGTGAGAAGAATACACCTCCACCAAACCACCACTGCAAGATATGCTAAAGGGACAGGGACTACATTAAGAAGATGAAGAAAAAGAGTCTATGAATACCCAGTTCCTTTCACAGTCACCAATACTTGATATTACCAATGTTTTAATCCTTATCAATCGAATAGTGGCAATGATGTGTTATTTTAGTTGTTACTTTATTATCTGTTGAAACGAAACCTGTTTTTGTATATTTCTTGCCTATTTCTATTATTTTTAAAAGCTTTAAATGACTTTTTAGTATTGTTTATCCATTTTTTGATTAAATATTTGTAGAATATTTTCCCTAAAAAAAAACACCCAAAAACTATTAACCCTTTTTTAGATGTGTTGAAAATACTTTCCTATTCTATTACTTGTCCTTTAACTTTTTTATATGTATATTACTGTATATATTTAAATGTTTAATATAGTCATATTGTCAATATTTTACCTTAACACTTCTGGGTTTGAATATTTTACTTCAGGGTAAGAAAAATATTATTTTGTATTTTCTCCTAAAACTCCTTAGATTTTACTTATTAATTTTTAACTCACCTGAATATATTTTTTGTATAATGTGGGAAATAGGGCTCTATATTTGTTTTGTTTCAAGTAATAGTGGTTCGTGCACTTTATTTGTTGAATAAGCCTTATTTTCCCCATTGATTTGACATATCAATTTAATTACATATTACATTGTTAGAGATATATGTTTGTTTCGAGAATGCTCATTTCATTGATCTACTTGATTATTTCTGTGCTGATGTCATGTTGTTTTAATTGCTGAGACTTTATAATGGATTTAAATTTTTTAATATTTTATAATGGAGTTTGACATTTAAAAAATAAATAAAATCAAAATAAAATAAAAATAAAAAGAGAGAAAGAAGGAACTCCTACCTTTGCGACAACATGGATGGAACTGGAGAATATTGTGCTAAGTGAAATAAGTCAGTTGGTGAAAGACAAATACCGTATGATCTCACCTACAAGTGGAAGCTATTCAACAAAATAAACCACAGGCATGGAAACATGGAGCAGACTGAAAGTGACCAGAGGGGATGGGGAAGGAGGACAATGGTGGAAAGAAGGAGAAGGGACTAGACAAAGAACATGTATGAATGACCCATAGACATGGAGAACAGTGTGGGAATTTACTGTGGGAGTGGCGGGCGGGGGGGTGGGATGGGTGGAGGAGGGCAAAGGGGGAAAAATTGAGATGACTGTAATAGAATAAACATGATTTAAAAGGAAAATCAAAGAAACAAAATAAAACAAAGACAGACTTATGGGAAAAAAAAAGTACACCAAGCCCTGTCAAATAAATTTTCTCAATAGCAAGGTCCCTGCAATATTACAGTATTATTCTAATTAAGTGTTTTAGGACTGAGATATTACATGTTTACTGAATGCTGGCAATCTTCAAAAAGGTTTACTAAATATACCCATGATAGAGACTCTCCCCTCCAGTAGCTAGTTTTTTAAGGTGATAAGACACTACAAATTTCTTTCAAACCAATGTACAAGTAACCTTTTTAAAAAAAAAATTAGACATATTAGAAACAAAGTTAGAAAAACCATGAAGTGCTAGAAAGAAATTTATAGATGAAAGAGTTTTTATGTCATAAGTTTCTAGACTACGAATAATACGTGAGAGAGGAAAAAAAGCCTTTTTTCTCAAAATAAAAATTCTTTTAAAAAACTAAAATTACTGAAAGATAAGCTAGTACTTTCATTCTGATAACAAGAAACTCAAGGGACTTAGAGTTGCTTTTCTTCCACTAGATGGGATCTTCTAGTTAGTGCTTTTCCTGCTCTGCTTTATTTGATGGGAACAAAGGAAAGGAATCTGTATCAAGCACATGCTGTATGTCAAGTAATATTCTTGCAACTGCAATGTCAATTCTTCATAAACAAACTGTGTGTAAGCTTTAGTTTATCCTCGCCTGCTGTACTTTTAGGTGCTTCTGCCATGGCTCCAATGGGCCCTAAGAGCTGTCTCTATCTCCCCAGTGTGGCCATTTCAGGTCTGGAAAGTCTTTGTTGCTTCTTATTCTCCTGCTGCCAATTTTTTTCCAGGGAATCTAGCTCTCTTAATTAAAGCATCTGAAAGACACTGCATGTTGACTTTTGATTATCTGCTCTTATAAACTTCTTACACATCTTTCATTAGTAAGCATAATTATAAAATTTGAAGTACAGAACTGTCTTAGGTGAATATAGTTTGAGTTCGTCCCATTTCTAAAACAGGCCTAAATTTTTAAAATACAAGTTTTTAGCTAAATAAATGAACAACCGCAAAAAGACACTTACGCAGAATGACTTTGCGTTTCTTTTGTTCCGAGTGAAGAAAGCTACTAAGGTAGAAGACAACAGGTAGAAAAAGAATGAACACCGAAACAGCAATTACAGGCACAGTGTCACTGCAAGGGACTGAACAGTTGAAAGTTCGACTCCAAAGTTTTCGAGTAATGTTCATCTGAAACAATAACAAATACTATTACTCCATTTTATATTTAATTTGTATTCAATTTCATACAATTATTTTGTTAATAACTAAACAGGCACTCAGAATTTAGACTAAATATACACCATAAAAATATCTATGGATAGTTAAGGACAATTTCTTTTGTCAGGAAAGAAAATGGTTCACAGTTAGTCATTGTATAAATTTATACCCAAACAAAAATTTCATATTCTAAATTCATAGTACTGTCCATCTAATGTCAATCTTTCACAGAATTCAGAGAAACTATCAATAAGAATATAGTTAGACCATGCTTCATTCATTGGAAAAGATTTTAAAAGGTAACTTATAGGATGTGATGGATGTGTTAACTTGACTGTGGGAATCCCTTCACAATATATACATATATCACATCATATTATATAACACTTTAATATTTATACCTCAATAAAGCAGGGGGAGGGGAAAGGCTCACAAAACAAACAAAATTTTCATGTTACATAATGTAATCTCTAAGTTTATTGCAATGTTTTTAGACAAAAATAAAAATACCAACTTTATAAGGCTTCTCTATGAAATGCTTAATATTTTATCTGAGATATCATGAAAGATTCATACTTGTGGCAAATAATTTTTAAGTACATAATACCTAATGACTCATGGAAGTTTTATTAGATAATATTAATATCTTATTTAGCAAAATACAGTAGATACAAGTTAGGGGCAACAGGACCTCACTTTCACTGAGTTCTTCGTTTCTGTCAAACAGGCTGACGTAAGGAAACTATCAAATCATATGCAGAAAGCTGTTCTCACCTGGATTTTGTTTAACTGAGATATGTTTTACATATCTAACTCTAAGTTTGCTTATTGCAAAACAGGTGGTCATGTTGATTTCCTGTGTAATCCCAGTTATGTCACAGAACCAATGTTCATTTTCCATCTTTATTTTAAAAACAGTAAAATAGACTATTATTTTAAATATATATTTATTATTTACTGAGAGCCTACGAGAAGCCAGGTACTATTCTAGACACTGGGAATAAAGCAGAAAAAGATAACAAAAATCCCCACAGTGCATTATTTTAAGTGCTTTTTGCCATCCTGAATATTACTGATCCACTATAGTTAACTCTGAGCTGCTATGATAATTCACACTCATCATTCTCAACCATTAAGTTTATCAAGTTAAACCTTAAGTTCTCTACTTTTAGCCAATAATTTCTCACTTTCCTATAATGAAGCAATTTTCAACCAGTGCATTCCAAGAATTTTGAAAACATGCAGTATCTGACTATTTAGTCATGGGCACTGACCTCTTTCCCTTAGATTACCAAATAAAAAAATGACAACAGGCAACACAACAGCTTCCTGGTGTGAATGAAAAAATTATACCTATTTTTTTCCTGCTCAGATCAGCCAAAAATATATATTTTTTTGGTGTGTCACAGAATTAGTTTTTAGTTTATGAGTACCACGAGATGAGAAAGGTTGAAAATCACTGCTCTAAAGCCTTGATACGCAGGCATCATACTCCCATAAAAAGGCATGATCGCCATCGTGTGGTAGCCTATGAAAAGGCAGGCTATACAATGGAGGAAAAGGCTTTTTTGTTGACCATCCCTTCAATCAATACATATAACTAATGGCCTGTTATATGCCAGGCACTGCTCTAAATACTGAACAGTGAACAAAAAAGGGCAGGAGGTCCTTATTCTCATGTGGCTTATATTTTAGACAGACTATAAACATACAAATAAAAAAATTTCAGATAGTAACAGATATAAAGAAATAAAGCAACAGAATAGGAAGTAATTGAGGAATGGCTTCAGAAACACATGATAGCAAAACTGAGAGAGTTCTTGAATTAGCAAAACAAACCTAAGAAACTAAAATGTAAGCATATTAACAAAGTTCACATCTTGGAAAATGACACACATTACTAAACTAAAAAAAACAAAATGTACCAAATTATCAACTCACTTATGAAAACTGATTAATTTCCATTTTAGTTTGACATATCAGCATATTCTAAAACTTTAGAGCTGATTATTTCTGGTTGAAGACATCAAATGAAGATTTCAATATCTCTGAAATGGGTAATAATACTGAAAGTACATTCAACAACATTGCGCGCTCTCTCTCTCTCTCTCTATATATATATCAATCACACTAGAAGCAAAGTACTTACTGCATCTTCCACGTCAATGCATAAATGTGTTCCAGGTTCAGCCTTATTTTCATGCTCATTCATTTTTTGCATTTCACTGAACATATTACTCAGATTTTTATATGCTTCGAGACAGTTTTTGCATACTTCTGAGTAATTTCTTAACTGCAGAGAACTGTGTATGCTCCCCTAAAATGTCAAAGACACATGTAATACACACAATAAACATTACATCTCTTTAATGTAAGCTGTTTGCCCTCCTAGAAAATAGGAAGCAACAGAGTATGATAAAGTGCTGAACTATGATGTTGGGCAGGTTGTAAACCACACTGAGCCTCAGTTTTATCATCTATAAAAGAGGCTACACTACCTGTATTAGATGTCCCAAGGATTAGAAACCTGGTATATAAAACACCTGACAAAATATTTGGCACTTCCCAGCTGCCCCTAAATTATGAAAACCACTGCACTAGCCACTGTTAACTGAGGACAATACTACCTCATCTTCCAAGTTACCGATACCTAAATACCCAAAATTTCCTAAATTATCTTGTCAGGTAATATATTTGCTCTTATCTATGCTACTTTCATCAAATAAATAAAATAGGCCCTTGCCTGTGCTGACTTCAACAGAGAGGACTTTGTTAATGGGAAAGGAAAAGGCACTGAAACTGTATCCCCACACACCCCTTGTACCCCAAGGCTTATAATCCAGGCCTTTCTACTCAACAAAAAAGGACTAACACCAAAGAGTTGTATAACCTAAAATGAGGATAATGGATATAACATATAATGTATTATGTTAGCAAATTTCAGCCTTCTCCCATTTCAGGACTGACACTTGTCATTCTAAGAACAAGTTTTCTAAAGAGTCAGTTCACTTTAGTCTTTACCTTGAAGCCTGGAGAAATGCTATGTTAACTGAATATCAGAATGAAAGAGAAAGGAAAATAAAAGGACTTAAAGTGATATAGCCCCCACAATGTTACCCGCACTATCTATTTCACAGAGAAACTAAGACTCCCTTTAGTTCTGCCACAAGAAATAGCCCATTGCTTGTCTTTCACAGAACAATCGAAAACTGAGCATAGACCCTTGGCGGGGGAGTGTAATTTGGCCATTTCTGTTAAAATTTAAAATGCATACATATTTTGACATAGCAATAAAAACCACAAAGGTACTAAAAGAAATCACACGGGAATTTAAAAGAATAATCTCAAAGTGGGAAAAGGCCTTCTAGTGTTTAACACAAAATCTGCAAGCCATTAAAAATTTTTTGCTAAATCTAACTACATGAAAATTAAAATTTCTTCATAGCAAAATGAAAAGCACAATAAAAAGACAAACAACGAACTAGGAAAAATATACGCAACTAACATCCCAAGGAAAGTGCTTATTTCCCTAAAATACACTTATCAGAATACTGATCTCTTAAACCAAAGAGTTTCTGGAAAAATAGGTTTAATAAATGCTGAATAGAAAAATTACCATTTAGAGTTTTACAACATACATTAGTCCATTAAAATTCTGAAGTCTTATAGTAAAGAATTTCCCAAACTTATTAGTACATGGGCCATCTATTAACATCTTGCAGAACATAGTTTAAGAAATGCTCATCTAATGGTTTTTATTATTGTCAGAGAAATACCTAATTTTTGTGTAATAAAGACGAAATCATGCGTATCTATATCCTAAACATGTTTACATCTATTTGTGGGGATTACTTACTTGTTAAGGAAGTTTCAAAACTATGATTTTACCAGAGTTCCAATCTCACCCCTCATCACCACCTGGAAACATCACCACCAACATTCAAGGATTAGAGGTGGCGAAACCAAAAATCACCAAGGTAGGTTTGTTGAAGGCTACCTTGGTGATTTATATTATAATTTAACACTCAAAGTTACTTACTAAAGATGTAAGCAAATATTGATGCAAAGAATAAGCTTCCTAAACAGAGAGAATCATTCTGGATTGCAAATACCTTTCCACATAAGCAAAGTCAAGGTAAATTACTGTCAGACAGAACACATTATGTTTTAGTTAAACAATCACATGCCTCAGTTAATGTGTTCATGCCCATTATCTCATTGGATCCTCACTACAAAATACTTGAAGGTAGGCCAGGTAGATCTTACTATCCCTGCCCTACAAAAAAGAAAACTGAAGTTTTTGTGATTTGCCTAAGGGCTAATAATGGAAGAACTTAGGTCTGCTAACTTCTCTACATTGTATGTACAGATAAATATCAACAATTAATGTCATAGAGTTGAAATTATTTATTATTCATTTGTACAAGGCAGCATTTAAATTTCAAGTAACATATATAAAATACCTGAAGATTATGCTCAAAGCAGGTCAAGGTGTTATTAAATTGATTGAGAAAGTGTAACGTGCTACTTGATAATTCTTCACTTTTGTTCGTTAAACAATCTGTCAAAAAATACCAAAAAAAGTATATTAATATATCTCTAACAACAATTATATCCTGTCAATTCTCTCTCAAGCTATCACCTTCTGTTTCATACAGTAGTACTTCTTTATCAAACAAGACTGACATGTTCTACATAAGAGAATTTTCTACATATATGAAGTTTACCCCATTTAGTTTCCAAAGGTTATTTTTCTATCATAAGCAGTTTCATGAGAATCTTAAAATAATCACACGTTCTCCTCCCTTTATAAAAACAATATACCAAATAAAATTTAAACTGACTTTTGACAGCACAGCATCTTAATCATGAACATCAGTTATCAAATGCTGCCTTTACTAAGCGTACTCTTAGTGCTGTTTAGGCATAATGCAGGATGTTTACCCTGTATTAATTTTACCTAAATTCATATGCTTTTTTGATCCTTTTTCTGTAGCAAACTTAGTAGTTCTGTGTCCCATCTTCACTAGTGCGTCACTTGTTGCATCTAACAGGGTAATGTTTTTTCATATGCTCTTTCTAATCTATTGCAAGTTGGGAGATCAGAGAAACAAGCTGGTGGGAATTTTGCCTGAAATACTGATACAGAGGCTTCAAGTAAAGTCTGGGGAAAAAACAGAACTGTTTTACATGTTTTTAAAAATCTTACATAAATGATATTCTGCCCTGAGTGGTGTGGCTCAGTGGATTGAGTGCCCGCCTGTGGGCAAAAGGTCACCAGTTCGATTCCCAGTCAGGGAATCCTGGGTGGCAGGCCAGGTTCCCAGCTGGGGGCATGTGAAAGGCACCCATGGATGTATTTCTCACACATAGATGTTTCTCTGCCTCTTCCTACCTTCCCATCTCTCTAAAATAAATAAAATCTTTTGGTTTTCTTTCCTAAAGAAAAAGCTATCCTAATGTCCACAATCCACTTCTGACAACAGTTTCAAAATTCTGTACAGAATACTTTGTTACATTTTCTTTACTTCTTAGCAGTCCAGTCATTCTCCACAAGAACTAGTTCCCACGTTATTACCTCATTACCTACCAATAATAATATCACTCAAAGACATAGGGAATCTAAAGATAAAAGAGAAGGGAGTAATACATGGTTCTACCCATTGTTTCTAATAACTGCAAAGACTTTGTGCCAACCCACAACAAGATCAAATAGTAAGAAAAGGTGGTTTGGGCAATATATTAATTTTAATATCCTTTAAAACAATATTTTAGCTTTAATACTTTACATTTTTAATAATATTTTTTTCAAATTCTAATAGCCACTTATTCATTTTAAAAGATTTTTACCTATATAATAAGATGAAAAACAAAGTCATTTTCTATCAAAAGATATATCTTACAAAATGGATCACATTGATTTAAGTCTCAGTTAAAAACAAATTTTTTTAATTTTATTTTTCTATTACAGTTTACATACAATATTATTTTGTATTAGTGTCAGGTGTACAGCATAGATAATCGTAGATTTTGCAAAGTGTTCCCTCCCACCACCAATATTTCCAGTACCCACCTGGCACCATACTTAGTGTATTACAGTACTATTGACTATATTCCCTATGACTATATTACTTTTCATCCCCGGGATTATTAGTAACTACCAATTTGTACTTATTAATCTTTTCACCTTTTCTACCCAGTCCCTCAACCCCTTGCTACTTTGACAACCAGCAGTCTATTCTCTGCATATATGAGTCTTTCAATTTGTTTGTTCATTTACTTTGTTCTTTAGATTCCGCATATAGGTAAAATCAAACTAAAAAGATTTTTGTACAGCAAAGAAAACCATCAACAAAATGAAAAGACAACCTACTAAATGGGAGAAAATATTCACCAATGATACATCCAATAAGGGGTTAATATCCAAAATGTATAAAGCATTCATACATCTCAACACCAAAAAAACCCAAAAAAACAATTGAAAAAAACCAATCCAATTAAAAAATGGGCAGAGGACCTGAGTAGACAATTCTCCAAAGAGGACACACAGATGGCCAATAGGCATATGAAAATATACTCAACATCACTAATCATCAGAGAAATGCAAATTAAAACCACAATGAGATACCATCTCACACCTGTCAGAATAGCTATCATCAATAAATCTACAAACAACAAGTGTTAGTGAAGATGTGAAGAAAAGGGATTCTCTGTATACTGCTGGTGGGAATGCAGATTGGTACAACCACTGTGCAAAGTAGTATGGAGAGACTTCAAAAATTAAAAATGGATCTGCCTTTTGACCTAGCCATCCCACTTCTAGGAATATATCCAAAGGAACCCAAAACACTAATTCAAAAGAATTATTCTATGCTCACTGCAGCATTTTTTACAATAGCTAAGATATGGAAGCAACCCAAGTGCTGATCAACAGACAAGTAAATAAAACACATGTGGGGCATATATACAATGGAATATTACTTGGTCATAATAAAGAATGAAATCTTACCATTTGCAACAGTATGGATGGACCTAGAGAGTATTATGGTAAATGAAATAAACCAGTCAGAGAAAGACAAAAACAAATTTTTAAAACACATCAGTAGTTTTTGTTCTTCCTTTGTAATTTTTTTCCTTCTCATTTTATCATTTATGTGTCAGACTGAATGGACTCCATATTGTTTAGTATTAAAGATCATTATTGTTGGCATCATTTAGCAGCTGTGTATTCGCAAATTTAATAAATAGATCATTGCAAAAAAGCAACTGAGACAAATGGGTTAGTGGCTTGTGTTTAACAGTATCACACAAATTCTCAGAACATTTATTTGTGTTTAAATAAAAAAACCAATAACCCCAAAAAATTACCTTAACATTTATATTTCAAGTAAAATGACAATATAAATATTAAGAGAATATTTATATATATAGTAGAGGAGAAATAATAATTTTCCCTCTAACCTTCTAAGTACTCAACTGGAGCCTCTGAAATAAAACACAAATTATGAGGACAAAAACAAACAAGTTTATTAACTTGCATATCTCATATACACATGGAAGATGCACACGTAAAATGAGCAACTCAGAGAGGTGACTTAGTATTCAGGCTTCAATCAAAGAAAGAGGGTGGGGAGGCCAGTTATAGGGAAATGACAAGGAAAAGCATGGTGAACAAGTGTGAAGTTTGTTATGCAAATTCACATCTCCGTCTTCTCCATTTAAGATTCTCTTGTGATTTAGAGCCATCCATCTTTTGCTGACACAGAGAGACCCTCTTACACATGAAGATTTTCTTCATAAATATAAATTTCCCTTACAAATATTACTACTTTTTTCAGAGCTTCTCCTATGCCTGATATTTCTCAAAATAATTAGCTCAAAATGATCCTTATGCAAAGAGGGTCATATTTTGGGGTGGTATATTCTGGTCTCTTATACCCATATTTTGGGTTAGTATATTTTGATTTCCTAATATACAAAATGACAACATCCTAAGCAAACCTTTTTTTTTTTTCCTTTTTATTCAGTTTATTGGGATGGCACTGGTTATCAAAATTATACAGGTTTTGGGTGCACAATTCCTTAACACATTATCTATACACTGTATTGTATGGTCATCACCCCAAGTCAAGCCTCCTTCCATCCCCATTTATCCCCTGTATATCATCCTTTGCCTTCCCCTCTAACCTCTTCCCCTGGCAATCCCCTCACTGTTGTGCCTGTCCATGAGATTTTTCTTTTTCAACCTCCCAGCTCAGCTCCCAAACACCCTGCCTCTGGACAGCTGTCAGCCTGCTCCCTGTCTATGGGTCGGTCTGTTTTGCTTGAAAGTTCATTCTGTTCTTTAGATTCCACATATGAGTGAAATCATATGGTACTTGCCTTTCTCTGTCTGGTTTATTTCACTTATGCTCTCCAGGTCCTTCTATGCTGTCGCAAAGGGTAAGATTTCCCTTTTTTACGGCAGAATATTACATTGCACAAGTGTACCACTGCTTTTATTTCTTAGAGAGGGAGAGGGAGAGAAAGAGAGAGACAGACACACAGACAGACATATATCAATGGGAGAAACACTGATCAGTTCCCGTATGTTCCCTGACCAGAATTCAAACCTGCAATGTTTTGGTGAACAGGATGATGCTAAAACCAGCAGAGGCACCTGGCCAGGGCACCATCACCATTTTTATCCACTCCTGTACTAATTTGAGCTCTTGGCTGCTTCCAAATGTTGGCTATTGTAAATAATGCAGCAATGAACATAGGGCTGCATAAATTCTTTTGAATGAGTGTTCTGAGTTTCTTCAGCTATATTCCCAGAAGTGGAACTGCTGGGTCATAAGGCAGTTTGATTTTGTAATTTTTTAAGGTAACTTCATACTGCTTTCCAAAGTGGCAGTACCAATCTGCATTCCTACCAACAGTGCATGACGGTTCCCTTTTCTCCACATCCTCACCAACATTCATTGTTTATTGATTTTTTGATGACAGACATTCTGACAGGTGTGAGGCGATACCTCAGTGTGGTTAATCATTTCCCTAATGGTTAGTGACACTGAGCATCTTTTCAGGTCTATGGGCCACCTGTGTGTCCTCTTTGGAGAAGTGTCTATTCAGGTCCTTTGCCCATTTCTCTTTTAATCCTTAACCAAGGATATGTTTATTGATTGCAGAAAGAGAGAAAAAAGAGAAGGAAAAAAACCACATCAATGTGAGAGAGAAACACAGGTTGCTTGCCTCCCATACCCACCTCAACTGGGGAGCGAACCTGCAGCCTTCTGATCCATGGAATGACGCTCCAACCATTGAACCAACTGACGAGGGCTGCTGCCCATTTTTAAATTGGATTGTTGTTTTGGTGTAGAATTTTTAAGTGCTTTATAAATTTTGGATGTTAACCTTTTATCAAATTTATCATTGGCAAATATGTTCTCCCATTCAGTGGGTTGCCTTTTCATTTTGTTGATGGTTTCCTTTGCTGTGCAAAACCTTTAGTTTGATGTAGTCCCATGTTTTTCTTTTGTGTACCTTGCCCGTGGTCACACATCAGAAAAATTGTTCCTA